CATTTCCTAGTAGATCTAGGGTAATGCAACTATGAATATACAATTGTGAATAGTCCTATATAGGTGAATCCCTTCCATCAACAGAATCAAAGAGCCAAAAACATGAATTGTCAAATCAGACAGTATATAAGCATTCTCGAACCATACCGGTAACTGTCCTCATCCCAACATCATGTTTGTTTCTGTTTTCATACCACACCTATTTCTCCCAGATTACCAGGGGAATGGCGGCCATGATTGTTACATCGAACTCTGAGGAGCTAGATAGGCATTAATCAACATGCGATGATTAAATGTTCAAAACCCTTGGCTGACATGATCCAGTCGTGAAAACAGTGACTGACTCACAATTTGGAGTCAGTATTTCAGCTGACTAGAACAGTTTTGCATACATAATATACATGTACTTTTTATAATTTCCAGTCATCAAAAGACTGTCAAGACCTCGACTGCCACAGACGGTGTCTAAACGTACCATACAGATTCGAATCTATTTTACTACGTAAGATAATACAATATTTAAACAACTGAAGGTAGATAAACATACTAGGGACCATGGGGATTTCCAGTACTTTTGCTTCCTGTATGGACCTTAGTCGAAAACAAACAAATCCAGACACGTTTCACGTGTAGTCCGTGAAATACTCTTTTGCATCTGTTTAGATAATATTGTTTACAAGCTAGCAGTCGTGCAAAAATGGTTTTCGTTCTTGTCACAAATATTTGATGTCATAGTGATTACAGATTGCAAATAGGTACTTATTCGTACATTCATTTCACAGATACAGTTTAATGGAGCTATTCTTCGACAGTACCTGCTGGTGTGGATGAGTGCCCTGTTATGTGAACACCTTCAGTGGAACAATGTTGTTCGTGGCATTTGCAGTGATCAAAGGCTGACTTCTTGTTCAGAGAACAAGTAGGATAATTCTTCTAGGTCAGAGTGGAATCATGGGAAGGACAATTGGTTGACCTGGGTAATGATGAAACGTCTTCCGTCTCCTCCAAGAATGGCTGTTGCTGAAGAAGGATGTCTTTGTGATGTAAGTAGTCCTTTTACCGAGAAGAGTCTTCTTACCGTCATTATTCTCACACTGGAGATGAGACAGCATCCTTCTTAAGTCCACGGGGCACCTGTTCACCTCTTGCCAGTTGTATATAGACTTAAACTGTGGCATAGTATTAAGGACTTCGGTGAAAAAGTCAGTGACCTTGTCCTTTTATTATTGTTTTTAGATGTTTAGAAACATCTGTCAAGTGTCATTCCCTCGGCTCAGGTATCTAGATTGGGTATCGTGTTCAATGATCAGAGGTTTGTTTGCGGTACGACAATCACCAATATATATACACTGAGGAACAAAGGGGTGGTGGGGTAGCCTAGTGGTTAAAGCGTTCGCTCGTCACGCCGAAGACCCGGGTTCGATTCCCCACATTGTTACAATGTGTGAAGGCTATTTCTCTTGTCCCCCGCCATGATATTGCTGTAAAGCGACGTAAAACTAAACTCAGTCACTCACTCACTGACGAAAAAAATATACTTTAGTAAATCTATGAGTTGATTTTGTCGTATGTTCTTTTTTTAGTTTTTACATATCTGAAGGTCAGCAGTGACTACGCTGTATTTGCTTTCAGCATCCAAAGAATGATAATAGATTTTGAAATTGAATAAAATTATAAATGAAATAAAAATATATCGGATAAGACACCACTGGTATCAATGGTATCTTAAACATAGTATTTTCAATATTCAATGAATAAGACTTTTCAACACAAATTTACATTCCAAACATGTTAGTGGTCATATTTGTTGCCCAGTCTATATTTTGCACAAAGCCATAGGTAATATTATAATTGCGTTTCTGGAATGAAAGATTGTTCCATAAATAATATTTTCATCCCTCGCTTTTCAGAGACATGATGCAGCTTTCGTACAGACATCAAGTGGCTCCGATTATTGACCGTCAGATTGAAATATTTCGGCAAGGCAAAGTCAAGGCCACATACTGCACGTGCCACATTTGACTATATGTACAAGCTAACGCTAAGACATTTGTGCCTTGACGTAGAACGGTACCGTTCCAGGAATTGTAATATGTCGTTATTGATTGAAAGTTTATTAGCTATTGTGATTAAGTTTTAAATTGTATTGATTTTGAGGACTACTGTTTGCAATGTTATCTCATGACCATGAAAGAAACAGTATGGCCGGGCTTCTTACGCCCGGGTAACCGGCTTCATGGGTGAAATGATATTTTCGACTGTACATAATTAATGTGATGACCAATATCCTTGTGTCAATGTAAAGCACATCAGATGAGACGAATACATTGTAGTATCAGGCACAACAATTTAACATGGAGCTTGGGCGATGCAATTTTAGTGCCAACGGGCCTCAAAGGCCCCGGGACCCGGGCAGAGGGTTAATTTCTTTGAAAAACATTGACGCAAGTACATTTAAAACTCAGGAGAAGTAAAAAAGGAAATCAATACACAGTCAACACTGAAACCTGGCCACGATGCTTGTTCAAGAAATACAAAATGGTATTTTACGGTAGTTTCAAACTGTTGTCTGACACCTGTCGGCTCGTGTGTTCTTCGATGACTGTACTTGTCTTGTCTGTCTCACAGCCCCTGCACCACATCATTTTCTGTTCAGCCCCTGCTGGGCTCCTTTTCAGTTTCAAAATAAAGCTATATATTTTCAGGGCGTTATTCCTGGACTGCTACCATCTCAGAACGTGCAAGGGGAGACAATCCGTGTGAACGAAGGGCTAGTAAAATGAATTTTCACAGAAAGGGTTTTCCCCGATCCTAGTCGCTACATCTACCTGGTGTTGGGTAAGGGGATCGAGCTTACCGTTTTCTACAGACGGTGGTACGACGCGCTATTATACGTGCGAATACACAGTGCCCCTAGCAACAAATGTAGCGAAACATGGAGTCAGTATGTCTGAAATCTTGGTCAAGGCGCCGATATTGCTGAAATACTACAGTTGTGACTATAAACTTTGACTCACTCACTCACTTCTTGTGTTGAATGGTGTCATCGTCGCTTTCTGGTTAGTTAATATCAACCTGTTCTTTTCGTTCCTTGGTTGTTCCAAAGTTTGCGAAAAGGATATTCTGACTTAACTTGTGCACGGAACTTTGTGTAACAGTAACGAGCACTTAGATCTGATGGTGAGATTGATTTAGCACAAAGATAATGCACAGAAACCATACTTATATAGATCATCCATCAGTTATTGAAGGCTGGCATGTGCAACGCTAATTCTTAGTTGGCAGCTGTGTTCATCTCAGACAAGACTCAAGTTACTATCGTGGATTAACACCGAAACGGCGCTAACTGTCAAGCAGCGATGAAAATAGATGAGACAGAACGCTTTCCATATTCGAAGCATCAGTTTCAAAGGTAGAGGTGAGTTGACTGTACGCTTCAGATTCTATCATGTGTATTTGTTTACAAATCATTATCAATTGATCATAACACGGGGTGAGAGTATCCCGCTTCATCGATTGCACAAAGCCAGGGCTAGTTAATAGTTCATCTGACAGAACAGTTCTGCTAATTGTCAAGCAGCGATGTAAATATATAAGACAGAACCCTTTCCATATTCGAAGCATGATTTTCAAAGGCAGAGTTGAGCTGATTGTACGCTTCAGATCTTGCTCCCGTCCTTAACAAAAGCCATGGCTAGTGAAAAATTCATCTGACAGAGCAATCACGTAAACTTAAAACAGGAAAAATAGGGCATTGCATCGATATAATTTTTGTCATTGCCCCGGTACAGCTACCATGAATCGTTTTGAAAACTTAACTAATGACTTGATCGCAGTAAGATTGTTCAAACAACTAGTGAGCCGTATCACTCTCTTTGCAGAGAGATCTGACTCGACTTACCTCACAACTTGTGAAATGTAAACCACAAAGTTTCGAGCTGCAGGAATAGTGCTCAATATGAAGAGTAAGCTGGGTGTTTGAAAGTTGATCTCGTTTGTCAAATCTTTGTGTGTGAATCTAATATGAAACATATTCTATATTTACATTTCAGGTGGGTGAAGTCCTACATCTGAATTTGTAAACGTTATATAAGGAGCGTTTAATTCAACATCAGAATAACGTAATGGATCAAGACTATGTTATACCATAACCTAATGGTGCAAGATCCCTACTTCATTCGGGCCACTTACAAACAAAACAAAAATTTCAAGAGCCAACCACAATCTACGTTACTGTATCAATCGGCTGATCATGGTACACCATGGTTTCACAAGCACTCAGAACATGTGCTTCTTCAACTAGATCGCCCTTATTTTAGTGAGTGAGTGAGTTTTAGTTTTACGCCGCACTCAGCAATATTACAGCTATATGGCGGTGGTCTGTAAATAATAGAGTCTGGACCAGACAATCCAGTGATCAACAGCATGAGTATCAATCTGCGCAATTGGGATATGATGACATGTGTCAACCAAGTCAGCGAGCCTGACCACCTCGATCCCGTTAGTCGCCTCTTACGACAAGCATAGTCGCCTTTTGTAGCAAGCATGGGTTACTGAAAACCTATTCTACCCCGGATCTTCACGGGTCGCCCATATTTAAACATAGACATACACTCACACTTTTTATTGAAGATAACCAGCATCCTAACAACACAAAGCTAATGACGACAGTTAAATAGGATCCCAAGCTTAATTAAAACACCGCCTAAAACAAACGTAATACAAGTTCAAAGATTGATTGCAAATTTAATGTCAATTATCACTGAAATATACAGATATCTTCTTCGACATGGGCGGTATACTCAGACGGAGGTCGTTGTTCATAATGTTGATCACATGTTATGCCTGTCCCGGAATCAATGACTAACAACTCCTGTCTAGCGAAAGTAACATTATACCGTAAACATACAAAGTACAATGAAGATTGATTTTCTAATAACTGGTGGCAGATGACGGAGGTATTGGAATGTTATGATGCCAAGATGTTACGAGCTTTTTGATCACTGACATGTTACTTTGTAAACACACTTGTCATATGGTCCTTCAAGGAATACTGTGTATGTACAAGGTTGTCTCGGTACTTCCCCCTGTACAGGGGATCAGAAGGACGCCACACATCCTCGGGGCGAAGAGCCATTTGGATACTCTGAAACATTAACACAAAAGTTATACTTATTGTGTCAAGGAATGCCTTCAATATTTCAATCTGGCTTGAACATCTGTCTTAATTCATTCATTCATCGGATCTCACATGTCTGAAAGGAGAGTCGATTCGAATCGACTTTGCTTATGCCATCAATCACTGGTTTGTTTACGAAATCACTTGCTGTACGACATGCTACATCACTGGGAGATTACTGATGGACAGAGATGCCCATGTGCGCAAACACAAATCACAACTTCCCTAAAAGCCCAGAAAAAAAAAAAAAAAACAGATAAGGGAAAAAAAATAAACAAAAAAAACCAAAAGAAACCAACAACAAATATTTGCATATTCTTAACCGATCTTATGCGAATCGGCGCAGACTTCCTTTGAATTGTTCTCACATTTGAATAGTTTCTTAAGTAGAAGTTGGCGTCCAGTAGTGCTTTCACAAGACGAACTTAACACTAACCTCTCTGAACGTGTGGGAGGCCATATGCTTTTCACCGCCAGATTCATATAAACTGGCAATGGAATAATGGTGTCCTAAAGTGCTATCACAAGACGAACTTAACACTAACCTGTCTGAACGTATGTGACGCCATATGCTTCTTCACAGCCAGAATCATATAAACTGGCAATGGGATGATGGACACAGAGGCGATGAACCAGCCGATGATGCTGGCGTAGCCGGGGAAGGTGTACTTGCCGTAGGTCGGCGGTTGGTACTGAAGGAGTGTCAGGATGAAGGCAGTCTGAAATATCCATCAGAAGCTTCATGTAACATGAATAAAGTTTGTTGCATTCTGAACACCTCAGGGAAATCCATACTTTGTCATACATCCTCATGAAAGGAATCAGCTGAAGAAGGACAATTGGGCAAATAAGTTTTATACCTAAAATAATTATCATTTTAATGTTTAAAACATAGATCAAATTGACCACAATTAGCCCTGATGTTCGTGCTATAAGCAAAAGGTAAGAAATTGATTTCCAATCTCTATTAACAACCTTCGATCACTTACAAGGAGCACTGCTGGTATGACGAAAGCCCAAAAGATCTTTACGACGATCGGAAGTGGTTTTCCAATCATCATCTCAACATCCTTGCTCATCTGCTTCACTCCTGGAATACATGTATGACATCGTATAGTGCACATACACAAAGTTTAACAGCAAACCAGGTATGATTTGTTCAGCTTCATATAAAATTACAAATAGATATCGTGCTGACCTAAAGGCATGTCCAGCTGTTCAACACGAAAACGTTGCTATATTTACCACAAGAAATAGAACAGAAGAAAATGTAAAATATATACTGAGGGAGGGTTGGCGATCACATGAAAGTTACAAGTGCTCCCTTTATTTGTTCTCCAGGTTCTTCACAAGCTATGCGATACAAAGCTTGTGAAGAAACCTTGGAAAAACTAAGGAACACTTGTCCTTTCATGTGATCCCTTATTTCTTTCCCTCAGTATATCTCCTTAGTCAGCGGAAATACATATCGTAGGATAAACTAACTTACTATTTATATTTTGTGCTAACTGCATCAGAGATAGTAACGCCCAGAGAAATAGGCATTCATGTGGTAATGATTTGAAATGTAGCTCACCATAGATATAGACCACGGTAACACATTCCAGTGTGCAGAACAGAAAGACTGATAAAGCACTTATATACCAGTCCAGGAGCTGAAGGGTGTATGGGCCGCCCTGAAACCGCAATAAAAATCCTAACAACAATAACAACAACATCAACGACGACGACGACGACAACAACAACAACGACAACAACAACAACTAGCAACGGCGATGGCGACGGTGATGATGATGATGGTCATGAATATCCACGCATCCTGCCCCGTGAAGATCCGGGTTAGAATTGGTCATCAGCAACCCATATTTGTCGTGAGAGGCGACTAACGGAATCGGGTGGTCAGGCTCGCTGAATTGGGTGACATATGTCATTGTATCCCCATTGCGTAGATCGATGTTCATGCTGTTGATCACTGGATTGTCTGGTCCAGAGACTCTATTAATTACAGACCGCCGCCATACAGCTGGAATATTTCTGTGTGCGGCGTTAAACCAGCCGGCCAACCAACCAACCAACCAGTCCTTTGAGGGCATCATAACTAGGTCATAGAATTTGTTCCACGTGGAGCTTCAACGCACCGGTACCATGTCCGAAGCCATAAGGCGAGGGCCAAACGTAAATCTTACCTGCGTGCAGAGTAAGATTCCTGCAAGAAAGCATATCACACATACACCAGCGGTTACAAGCCAACGCTTTCGTGACAGAGCTTTCGGGTATTTGTCTACAAGGGCTGTTGTGATGACCTCCACGTTCATGAACTGAAAGCAAAAAAATGTACATTAGTAGTCCTCCAATCAGCTGTCATGACTGAGTGAGTGAGTATGGTTTTACGCCGTTTCTAGCAATATTCCAGCAATCTCACAGTGTACTCATTTGGGAAATCGAACCCGGACCTTCAGCGTGATGAGCGAACGCTTTAACCACTAGGCCGCCCCACTGCCTTTCCTGTGATGAGGTGATGGCCCCAAGACTGTGTGAAATGTGTCTGCGTCCGCTTTGTTCGGCCAAATAATTATACCCAATGTCACTAAACTTACCAATCATGTATTTCCTTTACGAGGGCTATTACAGCCTTGTCTAACGCTTTCTTCTTAATATGTGATGTTCTCGTATGGCACACATATGGAGGACACTTTCATTTTGAAACAATTTTCTTTTGTACCTATTAGTGAGTGTTAATGTACGTAACTACTTGACTTGTCTTTGCATGTATTTATGACGTGTCAGGAGTGTGGACACCTAGTATCATTACGGAGTGATATTCTTAAAACATGCTGGTGAAGTACAAAGGAGTGTCCTTTTAACAGTGATTTCTTATCATTTTTTAAAAATTTAGTTTTCGTTTATATAAACGTCTGCATTCAAAACTTGCCTGTTGAGACTACGGCTTGTCTGTCCTCACAACGTTCATGATCAATGTTGCATACTCACGTAATGTACTCATATATGGCAAAATGGAGACGCCCACCTGACAATCCAGGCCCACAGCAAGAAGCATGAGGAAGAACAGGAAGGACCACAACTGAGGCACCGGAAGTTGCGCCAGAGCTTCTGGGTAGGCTACAAAACCTAGTCCTGGACCTTCATCACGATAGGATAACAGTATTGTATAAACTTTCTTCTGTTATTATCCTTGTGTACTTTTTATCCTTGAATGAGTACATAAGACTTTATGGTTGTAATAAACGTTCATCATATATAATATGTCTGTGTATATAATATAAGTATGGGATGTCAGAGACTGATAACGGAATTTCATTTTCTGTATTATCATGCAACCATGTACGGTTGTACAAGAACAAAGTCAAGTTTTATTTAAAACAATAGACCATTGCTTTGAAAGTTACAAATTGATCTAACGCGATTACACTTACAAATGTCATCACCATTTTGACCATTTCCCAAGTTCCTAGTCTATGTTTTCTGAACGTACGACCATAGTGGCCGCCCATAGGTATTTAAAGGGCTTCATACATACAGCTGTTCACAGCTTGACATTTAAGCTGTAGTGAAACAGCTGCAGCTGGTGTTTTCGTGGACATCAGGATGTCGCCTTTTGTGTTCACTAGATTTAAACCTGGGCGTAAGATAAAAAATACCCAAAGCAAACTAAGCACCTTACTCACCGCTGGAAACTACATCCGTAATATGGACGCCAGTTTTCTCAGACATCACCCAAGGATGCCAAAAGTCACCAGGCCGGCAAAGATGCTTGTACCTTCAGATATCGTGCTCACTATGATGGCGTCCCTATCAGAAATAGATACAACTGATCTTGTGTGCAATCTTCTGGCGGACGCTAGTTCAAGTTTCACTGGGGATTATTATTTGTCTTCTATCTTCGCCACCTTGACCCCGAATAAACATATCTTATGATAAACGTCAAAGAGAAATTAAGAGTGGATTATGACAAATCCACATGAAAAGTATCCCTACATGACTTAATGATACTGTGACGTGACGCCACGGTTGGAATGACGTCATACGTACATCCCACAATGTGGGGCATCTTAGGAATATCAAGCCTCTTTGTCTTGAGTATGATACAAGATAAACTAAGGTGCATCTGAGAGCATCGACACTTGTTCACTAAAGGATATATTTCTAGTTAATTGTGACGTGACGCCACGGTTGGAATGACGTCATATTTACATCCCACAATGTGGGCATGTTAGGAATATCGCTTCCTTTTGTCTTGAGCATGATATAAGATAAACTAAGGTGCATCTGAGAGCATCGACAATTGTTCACTAAAGGATATGTCTCTAGTTAATTGGACTGAACACTCATTAGTTTCACAGAGGGTTGACGTCTTTCACTGACGAGGAATGCGTTATGATCAGCCTACCTAGCTGACAATTTCACGGTTTGGATGTTGTTTTGGTCGTGTTTTCTGAGGCTGTAGCTTTATAGTGAAGAAAGAATCTCAAAGTGAAAGCTTTACATAAAACGCTCATGGCACCCAGTTATAAGAAGCGCCCAAAGCATAACGTTTCCTCAGCGTAAATTTGCAACGTTGGTATTACCTGGTGACATAACGTTATAAAATGACGTAATACTAACGTTGTGTCATGACGTTACCAATCTACAACGTTCCCACATCGTTGGGAACATGTTGTGTGTCATCACACCCAGGTGACACTGAAGGCGGACACGCAATTTCGTGCAATTCCTAAACTCGTGCCTTCAAAATAGTCGGTCTCGCAAAATGGTCTCTCAATTTGGCGACACTTTTACTCCTATGGTCTTAGAAATATAGCAAACATTAGGGTTTGGGAATGGACATGGTGCACCACTGTTGTTCTTGTTAACGTGAAGCGAATGTTTGGGTATGAGAGGAAATATTAGACAGTGATTATCATGAGCATCGATCTACGCAAGTCAGCCAGCCGGGCTGACCACCCGATCCCGTAGTCGCCTCTTACGGCAACCATGGGTTGCTGAAGATCTAATCCGGATGAGCACGGGTCTATGTTTGCATACCGAATGAAGAGGTATCCCAGGAAAGATTAGGCTGGCACCTCATGTCTCTTCGACCATTACTTACTTGTGACACGGCTCGTGGAACTTGTTATAGCTGGAAGCGGTGCCAATGGAACCCCAGCCTAGTCCCAGAGAATACATCACTTGTAGAAACGCCTCAAGCCACACCTTGTCATAATTACCATCATAATAATTACACCGAACTCATAATATTTGACCAAGAATTCTTGTTCATTATTAAATGATCACAGAGACATTTTTGAGTTACTCTCTTGTTGTCTTGAACACAATCCCTTACAAGCACTTATATTGTTTTGGAAAATGTTTTACTTTAAGTCAAGTCTGTATAATGCTTTATACCTTGACCAAATGCATGGGAATAATAACCACTGAAAAAACTATTACCTACCCCATTATTTCTATTACATAACCCTGCTGTAAAGCTTTACACCCGGATCCTACGAATAAATTCTACCATTGGATTCTCCCGCAAGACTCTGCCCCTAGGATTCTACCACTTGACGGGACTCTACAGCCGTGATTCTCACACAAGAGTTTGCCCCTGGGATTCTACCACTTGACTTAATTGACTCTACCCACGAAATTCTACCTCTAGAAGTTACCCCGGGATTCTCCCACGTGACTCTATCCCTGGGATTCCACCAGAAAACGCTAACCCTGGGATTCTACTACAAAGCCCTACCACCGAACCCTGCCAGAACGGTCTGCGCCGTACATTCTGCTGAACACACCTTCACATCCTGTAGTTTCCGGAAGTCCGGCGTGACGTAGTACAACAGACCGGAACCTGCTCCCGGTTGAATCAGTGTGCTGATGAAGATGATGATCAGGAGTATGTACGGCAATATTGCCGTCACGTACACTGCCTGGAAAAACAAGCAGTTGTTACCATCTTGACGTTAGTACATACACTGATGCACACTGATGTATTTCAGCGGCCATAAAATTTCCGAGTCCCGTGCTGGGATTGGAACTACGCACGCCTTGTGTACATGACCAAAGAAGTTAACCCTATCAGCAAGCTGACAAGGTAAGGATGTCATCTGTGAGATGGCTACATATTGCCAATGCCAACTACAAGGAGTTGTTATCATCTTGACTTTTAGTACTTTCACTATATTGGATCGGGTGTTCGGGAATTGTGACCATGTTGTTTCCTGATGTACTTGTGTTCTTGTTTAGACTCGCGAACATACAGGCTTTGTGACTGAGCTGTAACATAGAGGACCCTTCCGTATTTCAGAAAGACATTGTTCTGACAACTAACAGGCGAACAATGTGCGTTGTATATAAGATAAATGTGATTGCAATTAGAATACACACTGGTTGATTGGCAATGCCAAGTAGACATCGAACATATCCCTCTTCGGCCATTTAACTCATTAATACTGATATGATACGTTTTACCTTGCCCACGGACTTGACCCCGCGAATCATGCACAGAAATATGATGACATATGAAGCGAACAGACAAGCCACGATGTGCCATTGGACAGAGCCCACCTCCTCCAAACCTCGAGATATACTCAGCACATTGTACCTGAAACAACGACGGAAACAGCTGGACTGAACCGGTACATGGTATCACCGTTTGAGAGTTTTGTTGATT